TATTTATTTGACAGAGAGAGAGAGACAGCAAGAGAGGGAACACAAGCAGGGGGAGTGGGAGAGGGAGAAGCAGGCTTCCCGCTGAGCAGGGAGCCCAATGCGGGACTCGATCCCAAGGCCCCAGGATCATGACCTGAGCCAAAGGCAGATGCTTAACAACTGAGCCACCCAGGTGCCCCTAGTCTACATATGTTTTTAACCATAAACTTATTATTTTCATAACAAGATAGAAAGTCCATGTGGTAAAAGATATGTAAGAATGGTGAAGGAGGGAAAGGAAAGGAATAGATGTTTAGCCCAACAATTTTGGAGAATTTAAATTCTAAAATGCCAGAGACTATAGTCCACAAATGTTAGTCCTTTTTTTTTTTTAAAAAGATTTATTTATTTGAGAGGGAGAGAGCATGCGCACGCGAGTGGGGGAGGGGCAGAGAGAGAGAGAATCTCAAGCAGACTCTGCAGAGAGTGGAGCCTGACGTGGGGCTTGATTTCACGACCCTGAGATCATGACCTGAGCCGAAACCAACAGTTGAACCCTTAACCAACTGAGCCACCCAGGGCGCCCCCACAAATGTTAGTTCTACATAGAAAGAATTCTATGAGCAGTTCTGAAACAACTGTAAAAGAGAAATTAAAAAGCTGCCACAAGTTACTAATGAGACAAAAAAGTTGTAAACTGAATATTACACATAAGCACCGAAGTCTGGCATATTGCTTGTTTGTGTATAAAGGTATTCTGTTCCTAGTACTGTCTTCCAACCATCTGCCACCAGAAGCACACACACACTCAACCACAGGAAGAAACCATACTCAGGACTCGACCTAGATGGGATTCATACAAATAGTAACAAAAATGAATTCTTTTGAATTTTAGTGGCAAACTTCACAAATCATCATAGAGCTGAAATTTAATTTTACTAACTCAGAAAAGTACATGCTCACGAATGGTATTTCCTACCCTTGTGAACTTGGAGCACATTTCCTCTGCTTCTTTTATCATATTTGCTCGAAGCATATACTTTGCACATTTCGAATTGATGAATCTATCAGCTGTGTCCAAAGATTGTGCTTCATCCATCCACTTTGCAGCTTCTTTGAGATTACCTATATGCTTTAAGAAATGAAAGTATTAAAGAAACCACAGTATTTATGACTAAGAGATTATGGGTAAATATGAATAGAAAAAGTTGATAAAGACAAACTAGAAATTTGGTACTATTTCTATCAAATATATCTAGAAATCTTCAGATAAATTACAATTCACATTTACTAAGAGATGTATCAAGGGATTACCACTGATTAATACACTGATTATACCACTATGTAACATAAAACTCCCTAGGATTATTAGTGTTAGAAATAGATTATCAGGGTACCCTAGAAGTTATTTTAAATATAGAAAAAACTCCAAGGATTCTTAAAGTGTCAAATTCATCAACTATTGAAAAACACGACTAAGATTTTACCTTGTAAATTTTTGCTTTCATATAGAATAATTCTATCAGAGTTGGAGTACTAGCAATTGCAGCATTAATATAATCCAAAGCCAAAGAATACTGCCCAAGTTTATCAAAGTGCTGTGCCAGGAAATACTGAACCCAGAGCAGTGTTGTCGGGGGTTCCTTCTCCCCATTCTCTGCAATCAAACAAATATAACATTACTATAGAGAAGAAGGCAAAGTAAAGCAAATCACATACTTTCTCCCTCAACGCATGATGAAATTAATAATTATTGTAAGAATAAGCAGTAAAAACGCAGAAAAACGATCAATTTCAAAAGAGAAAGGTAGGACTTCATGCCATAAAGTTCAAATAGCAGAAGCCAGGCAGAGAAACAAGATGCTGGTTTCACAGGCTTCTAACCCCTACGTCACTCCGAAGAAACCGTCCTGGGGGAAAGAGGTCAATCGGTCTAACTCTATGAATTCCCTGGCTGAGAATGTAAGGCAGCAGGCCCAGGAAAAGTCAGGGGAAACAGCTGGGTGAAGAGAAGTCCCTAACAACCACTGCGAGACACCCACACAGGCCAGGGCTTTGCATTTCCTAGGTCTCAACGCTACATCAGGGGAAGCCAAAGTTGAAGGGTATGAAGAGACCTTCCTGACAAGATGGAGTGAACCCTACTATGGGATGAAAGCAGTCACCCACAGCCAGCTGAGCTCTATCCTGGTCCCCACTCTGAACCTTGAGCTACAGGAGAGTAGATCAAGAAATACCAAGCTCTCAAAATGGATTTCAGCAGGGAAGACATACAGGTCTGAAATTAGGTAGAAAGAGAAGAAAGAAGAATATACCCACACCACAGGAAAAAAAGAGGTTTCCTAGACTAGCTAATCAAATGAAAGAACAATGTAAACACAGAAATTAGCATAAATTAAAACAAATAATAAATAAGGGAAAGAGACAAGCATTTATCTTGTTCCTTTTTTTTTTTAAAGATTTTATTTATTTACTTGACAGAGACACAGCGACAGAGGGAACACAAGCAGGGGAAGTGGGAGAGGGAGAAACAGGCTTCCCGCTGAGCAGGGAGCCCGATGCGGGGCTCGATCCCAGGACCCCGGGATCATGACCTGAGCCAAAGGCAGACACTTAACGACTAAGCCACCCAGGCGCCCCTATCCTGTTCCTTTTATATAAACCATATTTCAGGGGAACCGAGTATTTGATGAGGGCAAGTTCTTTATAAGAAGAATTCTAGTTATTAAATGCAGGGGAAAAAATGACTCGAATGAAATAAGGGATTGAGGCAACGGTCCTCAGGGACTGCCAAAATCATCAGGTAAGAGGAACTTTTTAACCAGCAGATCAGGCTGACCACGTTTGAACCCGGATCAATCAAAACATCACAAAGAGAAACAACCAGAATGTCTTCTGGCTCCAGATGTGAGACAACAGGAAGTACAAAGCATCACGTTAAGTATTCACAAAAAACCTGGATCTAATCAAGCCTGTAAATCTAACTATAAGTTTACAGGAAATATGGAGAGCAAAATATATTAAATGATACCAGGAGAAAGCAATCAGCCAAATCCATAATATGGAACGTTCCATAAGACAAATGACCTTTCAACAAATAGCATTTTGGTTTTTTTTAATGGGAGGGGAGGTTACTGCTCAAGATTAAAAGACTGTCGGGCGCCTGGGTGGCTCAGTTGGTTAAGCGACTGCCTTCGGCTCGGGTCATGATCCTGGAGTCCCTGGATCGAGTCCCGCATCGGGCTCCCAGCTCGGCGAGGAGTCTGCTTCTGCCTCTGACCCTCCCCCCTCTCATGTGCTCTCTCTCTCTCATTCTCTCGGTCTCAAATAAATAAATAAAATCTTTAAAAAAAAAAAGATTAAAAGACTGTCAGAGACATAACCAAACGTAAAGTCTAGACCTTTGTTGGAGCCAAATGAGCCAATTATACAGAGACATTTTTTGAGGTAACTGGGGAAACTTGCATGTGGACTGGGTGTTAGATATTATGATATGAGTGTTAATTTGTGTGAGATAGCACCAGGGTTGCATCTTCTGTGTAAGTGTTTTAAACAGTTAGAGATGCACGCTAAAGTACTGACAGGTAAAACAGGATGTCTGCTTTAAAAATACCCCAGAAGAGAAAGTAGATAGACAGAAGATAACTTCAGATAGGATTGGCAAAATGTTGGCCATAGAGGCTGGGTGATGGGGACACAAGGGTTCATTCTCCTATTTACTTCTGTGTCTGCTATTACGAAATTTGTTTCAAACTAACAAAAACACAAGGGCAATAACATGTAAAAGACACATGAAGAACTCAGACTAAAGTTACCATCTGCAAGACTGAAAGCATTCTAGAATGTTTTCTAAACTAAGATGCCTTGATTTACATATTTCCCTATAAAGAGAGAAACAAAGGACCAAATCATACAGAATTTAACGTAATAAAAGAATAGAAAGAACACAGAAGTAGGAATTTGGGAAAAATAGGAGTTTCAATATAAACTAACTGTATGATCTTAGCAAGCCACTCAACCGCTCATGTCTGTTTACTCATGTTAAAACAGAGTTAACTCCCACCTCAAAGATGATGGAAAATTTAAATTAAGTAAGACTGAAAGTGCTCTTCTCATTTCATTCACTAATCCAAAAACTATTAAACAGGTATCATGTAGCACATACATAAAATATAAGCTAGTTTTAAAAACTGGATTGAAATGAGTAATCAAATTCCAATTCAATCAATTTAAACTTACCATAAGGGCTAAAAAAGTCACACGTTTTAAGAGAGGCTTCATAATTCGTAACAAGCTCCTGGATTACAGAAATCTGTTAAAGAAACATAGTTTTAAAATTTTTAAATATTTTATTGAGGGTATTGGTATTTACTGTGGAGTACACTAGATTTGGAAACAATGCAGAGGTTATTTCAGGACTATAAATTAACTAAACTACTAGGGTGTCTGTTCTCCCCCCACCCTCCCCCGGCTCCCCACTGTGTGAGGGGCAAGCAAGAAAAACACAGAAAATTATACTGTTTTCTTTATTAATAGTAAAACAGAATCTCATTAATTTCTCATCCCAATAAGGAGGTTTGAGTTTTTGAAGGACAAAAATTACTACAAAACCTTTTTTTTTTGCCAATAGTTTATTTGCCTTTTGCTTCTCACTGTTACATTGGGAAATTATAAACCATTATATATTCAGATTTTCTAAAGCTACTTACTCATAACAAAAAAGTCAAGAGAAATGATCCAAATGACATAGTGATTCAATGGAAAAGGTTAAGTAAACTCTAAACTGGATGTTTACACTCCCTTTACTTTTAGTGACCATTTTGATGAACAGATGTGCATTTCAACGGCCCCTCACATAGGACGGAAACACGATGAGCCACACTGTTAACTCTGCTCTGCTCTGAAGATGGCAAACAAAACGTGACATGGATCCGAAGTGCAAGAAAAGAACAGCTTCTATCATACAGCTGGTTTTAAATGCCTATTGATGTTAACTGCTCAGAATGAGCTGGAAAATATAACTATCTCATTTGTGAACTCCAAACAGTAAGGTTTAGGGCGCCTGGGTGGCTCAGGTGGTTAAGCATCTGCCCTCGGCCCAGGTTGTAATCTCGGAGTCCTGGGTTAAGTCCCGGGTCGAGTCCCGCATCGGGCTCTAGGCTGAGCAGGGAGCCTGCTGCTCCCTCTGACCCTCCCCTTCTTGTGCTCTGTCTCACTCATTCTTTCTCTCTCAAGTAAATAAAATCTTTAAAAAAAAAAAAAAAAGAGTAAAGGTTTTAAAAGTGAAAGAAATCCATTAAAACTTCTAATAGTATTTGACCAATGGAGTATTATTTTAATAGTGACAATTTTAAAGTTTTCTAGTTTTACAACTTGGGGTGCCACTAATACCACCAGACAAAAGGAACATACCAGACGGGATCGACAGTAAGAAGCCAGTAACTGTTGTAAGTGCTTTACATGTATTAAAGTAATAATTTTAGTAACCAGTCAACCTGACAGGGCACTGTTTTAGGTACTTTACTTGTATTAACTCACCTCAGAAGAACCCTATGAGGTGTGCACTATTATTAACTTGATCTTACAGGTGAAAGGAAAATAAAAATAAGCTGAAAGTGTACCATGGTGGAGCCAGAATTTAACCCAAGCAACAAGGCTCCAGAAAGTGGCTTCTAACTACTTGGTGTATCAATGAGCGGATGAGACACGGAACATTTATAACTAATGGGCAATTCTCCTGGACTCACAGGGATACATTAAGACTAGAGACTAAGAGCAGGACAGGAAACTTTCCCTGATCAGTTTTAGTGCACAAAACACCAGGTGTGCCCATTAAATCAGCCAGAGCATGGAAAATGTAAAATGATCTCTGTCTGCAAATTAAAGGACCTTACTCGTAAAACCCCTAACAATTCTGGGGTACCGGGGTGGCTCAGTTAAGTGTCTAATTCTTGGTTTCAGCTCAGGTCATGATCTCAGGGTCCTGGGATCGAGCACTGAGTCAGGCTCCATGCTGAGTGTGGAACCTGCTTAAGAGTCTCTGTCTGCCCCTCCCCTACCTCAAAAAAAAAAAAAAAACCCTAACAATTCCAAAAACAACAAAAAACTGTTAAAACTAACAAATGAATTCACCAAAGTAACAGGATACAAAGTCAACACACAAAAACCAGTTGTATTTCTATACAGGAACAATGTATTTGACATTGTGTGACAACACACAAAAACCAGTTGTATTTCTATACAGGAACAATGTATTTCTATACATTCACAATAGCATCAAAAAGAATAAAATACTTAGGAATCAACTTAACCAAGGAAGTGAATGACTTGTATAATGAAAACTACAAAATATGGCTGGAAGACGCAAATAAACGGAAACACATCCCATGTTCATGGATTGGAACACTTAATATTATTAAAATGTCAATTCTTGTCAACTATACTTCAATAAAAAAATTTTTTAATGTCAATACTACCCAAAGAGATGTACAGCTCCAATGTGATCACTATCAAAATCCCAATAATGTTTTTTTGTGTGTGTTTTTGTTTCTGGGTTTTTTTTTTGCAGAAATAGAAAAGCCCATCCTAAAATTCACATGGACTCTCAAAGAACCCAAAATAGCGAGAACAATTTGTTAAAGAACAAAACTAGAGGACTCACACTCCAGATTTCAAAACTTACTACAGTAAGTTATAATATAGTAATCAAAACAGTGTGATAATGGCATAAAGACTGACATAGGGACTACTGGAATATAACAAACAGCCCAGACTGACATAGGGACTACTGGAATGTAACAAACAGCCCAGAAATAAACCCTCACATATGTGGTCAAAGGATTTTTGACACAGGTGCCAAGACCACTCAATGGGGACAGACAGTCTTTTCCCAAATGGTGCTGGGAAAACTGGATATCCATATGCAATAGAATGAAGCTGGATCCTTATCTAATACCACATATAAAAATTAATTCAAAATGAATAAAGAACCTAAATGAAGGACCTAAAAAAAGAAAACTCTTAGAGAAAACATAGGACAGAAGCTTGATGACACTGGATACAATGATTTCTCGGAGACGACACCAAAGGCATGTTATAAAAGAAAAAAAAAGACAAACTGGACTTCATGAAAATTTAAAATTTTGTGCATCAAAAGGCACTACACAGAGGGGTGCCTGGGTGGCTCAGTGGTTAAGCGTCTGCCTTCGGCTCAGTCGTGATCCCAAGGTCCTGGGATGGAGCTCCACGTCAGGCTCCCTGCTCAG